AGTGACCACCCACTTGGCTTGCCAGGCATTGCACGCCGCCTGGCTGTCCGTCCGTCCGTCTGTCTGTCTGTCTTCCCGGCTCTCTGAGCCGCGGCGCTTTGAGCTTCTTGGCTCGGGGACGCGTCGGCCACCGCCGCCCTCTCCCTTGTCGGTGGCCCTGACGAGGTTGGGGGAGAGGGTGCCGAAACGCGCCCAGAGTCCAGCAAGGCATGAGGGTGCAAACCCGACTTGTCTGGCTGATGCTCGGGGGGGCCTGTGCTCAGGGGAGGCTGCAGCACCGCTCAACGATGTGCTGTTTAACCGAACCTGCAGGGTGGGCCCTTTCCCAAATCCGTGCTTCGGTGCGGATCGTAAGCGCGCCTCGTCTCCGTCGTCGTCGTCGTCGGCGTCGTCGTGGTCGTGGTGCGTGTTGCTCTGCTCGGGATTCTGTTTCCCTTATGCAGTGACCACCCACTTGGCTTGCCAGGCAATTGCACGCCGCCTGGCTGTCCGTCCGTCTTCTTTTCTGTCTTCCCGGCTCTCTGAGCCGCGGCGCTTTGAGCTTCTTAGCTCGGGGACGCGTCGGCCACCGCCGCCCTCTCCCTTGTCGGTGGCCCTGACGAGGTTGGGGGAGAGGGTGCCGAAACGCGCCCAGAGTCCAGCAAGGCATGAGGGTGCAAACCCGACTTGTCTGGCTGATGCTCTGGGGGGGCCTGTGCTCAGGGGAGGCTGCAGCACCGCTCAACGATGTGCTGTTTAACCGAACCTGCAGGGTGGGCCCTTTCCCAAATCCGTGCTTCGGTGCGGATCGTAAGCGCGCCTCGTCTCCGTCGTCGTCGTCGTCGGCGTCGTCGTGGTCGTGGTGCGTGTTGCTCTGCTCGGGATTCTGTTTCCCTTATGCAGTGACCACCCACTTGGCTTGCCAGGCATTGCGCGCCGCCTGGCTGTCCGTCCGTCCGTCTGTCTGTCTGTCTTCCCGGCTCTCTGAGCCGCGGCGCTTTGAGCTTCTTAGCTCGGGGACGCGTCGGCCACCGCCGCCCTCTCCCTTGTCGGTGGCCCTGACGAGGTTGGGGGAGAGGGTGCCGAAACGCGCCCAGAGTCCAGCAAGGCATGAGGGTGCAAACCCGACTTGTCTGGCTGATGCTCTGGGGGGGCCTGTGCTCAGGGGAGGCTGCAGCACCGCTCAACGATGTGCTGTTTAACCGAACCTGCAGGGTGGGCCCTTTCCCAAATCCGTGCTTCGGTGCGGATCGTAAGCGCGCCTCGTCTCGTCGTCGTCGTCGTCGGCGTCGTCGTGGTCGTGGTGCGTGTTGCTCTGCTCGGGATTCTGTTTCCCTTATGCAGTGACCACCCACTTGGCTTGCCAGGCATTGCGCGCCGCCTGGCTGTCCGTCCGTCCGTCTGTCTGTCTGTCTTCCCGGCTCTCTGAGCCGCGGCGCTTTGAGCTTCTTAGCTCGGGGACGCGTCGGCCACCGCCGCCCTCTCCCTTGTCGGTGGCCCTGACGAGGTTGGGGGAGAGGGTGCCGAAACGCGCCCAGAGTCCAGCAAGGCATGAGGGTGCAAACCCGACTTGTCTGGCTGATGCTCTGGGGGGGCCTGTGCTCAGGGGAGGCTGCAGCACCGCTCAACGATGTGCTGTTTAACCGAACCTGCAGGGTGGGCCCTTTCCCAAATCCGTGCTTCGGTGCGGATCGTAAGCGCGCCTCGTCTCCGTCGTCGTCGTCGTCGGCGTCGTCGTGGTCGTGGTGCGTGTTGCTCTGCTCGGGATTCTGTTTCCCTTATGCAGTGACCACCCACTTGGCTTGCCAGGCATTGCACGCCGCCTGGCTGTCCGTCCGTCCGTCTGTCTGTCTGTCTTCCCGGCTCTCTGAGCCGCGGCGCTTTGAGCTTCTTAGCTCGGGGACGCGTCGGCCACCGCCGCCCTCTCCCTTGTCGGTGGCCCTGACGAGGTTGGGGGAGAGGGTGCCGAAACGCGCCCAGAGTCCAGCAAGGCATGAGGGTGCAAACCCGACTTGTCTGGCTGATGCTCTGGGGGGGCCTGTGCTCAGGGGAGGCTGCAGCACCGCTCAACGATGTGCTGTTTAACCGAACCTGCAGGGTGGGCCCTTTCCCAAATCCGTGCTTCGGTGCGGATCGTAAGCGCGCCTCGTCTCCGTCGTCGTCGTCGTCGGCGTCGTCGTGGTCGTGGTGCGTGTTGCTCTGCTCGGGATTATGTTTCCCTTATGCAGTGACCACCACCATCATCCTCATCATCCTCATCATCCTCATCATCCTCATCATCCTCATCATCATAATCATCATCATCCTCATCATCATCATCCTCATTATCATCATCATCAGCAGCAGCAGCATCACCACCACCACCATCATCATCAGCAGCAGCATCATCATAATCAGAAGAAGCATCATCATCAGCGTCAGCAGCATCATCAGCATCACACCATCACCATCATCAGCATCATAATGATTATTTCCCTCCTCGTCCTGCTTCTCCTCCTTCTCCTCCTCCTCGTCCTTCTCC